CGTTGAAGGAAATAGAGGTCACTTGATAATTATTGTTTCTTTTTCTCTTTGCTTTTTCTGTAAACAATTTATGTATGAACTTATGGGCTACGATCCGATGCAAATCGTGAATCAATAAACAGCTAAATCGAACGTTATTCTTATGCATTTTTATTCGTATTTTATAAACCGTTTAATTCTAATAATATCAATTCTCTTCTCATTGTAATTGTTAATACATTTAAAAAGCACTTTTTGAATATTGATGCTGGAATTCTGAAAAATTTCTATTCTACCTTTCAAGCTCTTTCTTTACAATATCTTGTCTGTTTAATCGGTATGAATTAATCGGTGAGAATCATGACAATGTACTTACAATGAACTAAGCAGCATCAAATTGCACTTCATTTTTAATATAAAAATAAGGAATTATTACCATATAATGTCATCTTATAATTACGCTAATACATTATATTGTATTATATAAATTCTTTTATGATATTATTATTAAAAGTATATTGTCAAGGTGAGTTCGTATTATAGAATTTCATGATAAAAATAGCTAATTTATGAGCTTGTGAAAGAGGCTTTCCGTTTAATACCAGAATAAAATATAATTACTTTATTGCACATAAGACTTTAAACTGTCAGGTTCAAATCAAATTGGTGAAATTATAAAAATAACAATAATTAAGTTTCAGAACGTCAAATGCATACAAAGATAGCATGTTACAAACTTGTTTCTTTATTTTTAAACCACGTAATGATTTTATAATTAAAAACTACATTTTATTGATAACTATAACTGTTTAAATAATACAGAAAAAACATATTTTAACACATCATAAAGGGGCTAAATACTATTACTTATATAATTACTCATTTAAGGCCATTTGAATTGTTTTTAATTACATTTTTAAAGACAAAATTAAAAAAATTTTTCCATGTTATTGATTTTTGATTCAGTAGACAAATAAAAATGATGAAATGGAATAATAATTTCCCTTTTTTTTTAATACATCTCGATGCAATTTAAAAAATTCACTTTTGTTATATATGACAATATAGGTGCCAAACTTTTTAATTTAATTTAATTTATTTATCTTTCAAGAAACATTTATATATGATAAAAAATCTAAGTAACTTATATCTATTTTTAGTAAATTTCTAGTAAATCTAGTATAATTTAGTATATTCTCATGTATAATTAATGACATCGATTTTTTTTCAATAAAAATGTTCGACTTTTCGTCTGTGTATATGTAAAATCTAAAATTTGCATGCTTTTCAATTATACCATGATAATTTAATGTTTATAATAAAAGTTTTTTTTTTCTTTTATTTATACCTATTTTTATAAACCTAAGTCAAAAGTAATTTATTATGATAATGTTATTCTATTCAATATAAAATATAATTTATTTTCACATATGAATTTTAATTATGGCTAAAAGCAGTCGGTATAACATCATTATGTAAACTTGTTTTTTTATTAGTCTAAAGTCCCTCGTAGTTTAATTAATAATCGAAATGAAGCAAAGCATAAAGTCCTTACTTTTAAATTAATACCTTCAAATCTTTAGACTATAATAGCAGAAAATATAAAGTATTAAAGTAAATAGATCAGCCGGATAACGAAAATGAACTATCGGCAAGTCCGAAATTGTGATTTCAGCTATAAAAGCAAGAGTATCAGTATAGTTTGACGGCTGAGAAGGCGACATCATCAAGAAATGAGCTGAAAAATAAACATCTCTCCTTCATTATTTTTATTCAGCGTAAGATCTCGCGAAGTACCTTCTCCCCTGCATCCGGCTACATAGCAGCGGAGATCTTAAAATGTAAACATGAGGCGCGAACGTTCACCTTATGGGTATTTGCAGCTTAAGCTACTACTTCTTTTCCACTTTTTGTTCAGATTTTTTATATCATTTTTAGCCTTTAATTTTTTTTATCGATTTACTTTTTACTTTCTTTCTCCACGCATATAAGACAGCATTGGACACTCAGCTTCCAACCTTCAACGTCCAGTGTACGTAACGTCCAGAGAACTCAGGAGCCTTGTTTTTTAGACTCATGGCATGGAGGCGGCATGTTTTACCAAGAATCGTGCTTGCCGAACTTTTATACGATATGATTACCTAGGCCCTTAAAAATGTTAAAACCTATAGGATGCCGTTGGTGTTACCGTTGCGCAATATAATTTGAGATAGTTGGCGACTTTAAAGTGCCCGTTAAGGCTTTCTCCCGGCCCCGCCCCCCCCCCCCCTG